AAAAACGTTGGAAGAAATAACAAAAACTGTAGGAAGTGTTATCTAGTTTTTATATCCTATATCCTATCAATTTACAGTTAATACAGTATTTACATACTCATGCTAAAATTCGTACATAATGATATGTATATTATTTTGAATACCCTTGAGGACGTATTGTTTTATCGCAAAATGTTAATAAGAAGCTTAGTCAGCGATCCCATAAAGTATGAAGTAAAAAAACAATGTGTGCTAGACTGAATGCAAATGAAGTGAAGTGAGTTTTAAGAGAATACAAATATGACAAAATTGAATCGGTTTCGACACGAATAGTGCAAAAATATATGTCAACTTGCATCAAATTGGATAGAATCACTAACCCATACATTTGTGCGCGAGTGTGTGTGTAGAGTTCGAAATTTGGAAATCCCAAAAATTTAAAAACTAGTCAAATTCGCATCGCCCAGGCAGCCACACAAACGCATAAATACTTCGATCATATGCATATATACAAAAGCCCACGCCCAGGTACCCTTACCAATAATAACGAGGCAAAATGCAAGTATGACCTGTTGATTGTTTCATATTACAAAAGGGGAGAAATGCGTCCGAAATTTGGAAGAAATTCAATTTGCGCTCATTGTTGCTTGTGCGGACACAAAGACACACATACATTAAAGCGATCACTAGACACAATGAGAGAGCACATTGAGAGCACTGAGAGTAAGCCAAAGCAGTTTTCTGTAGTGAGAGCGAAATAAAAACAAAAGTGCCGTTCTATCGCACCAATAATATGGATTTCTTACTCTCTTGCTCTCTGAGAAAGCGAGCGAGTCTCGGACCCGAACAAAAACGAAGTCCACATTGGACCAGAAATCGTAAAAAATGAATGTACCAAACTTTTCTGCTAGCGGTCGCATCTATATGTTGTATGGTTAGTGATAGAATCCGGATGTTTTCGGAAATTAAGTTAACATGGAGCACAAGTGTTGTTGGGAAAATAGAAGGAGCAGGAACATTTACCGAGGAGTAACCACAAATGGGATGCATTGCCTGATTCAGGGACACGTGTGAACCACAAATATGTAGCATACAATTTCGGAGCAATCACTAATTGGCATCTCATTAACAGTTCAGCGAAGTTCGATTGGCTCCAATGTCACCATGCAGATACGCTCAGAGAATACGCCGCCGAGCGGGACGCGTATGCGTTATACGCATCCTGCACCGCTGCCGCTGGCGCCGCCGCAAACCTTTCATCCGGACTGGAAGCTGCCGCCATCTCGGCCCGTTATACGCATCAGTTTGCACGATACGGGCATTGTCATCTCGTGGACGCTCGAGGATACGGGCCCCCGTTTCGCGGAATGTGTCACGTATCAAATCTACGCCTACCAGGAGACCAGCAACGATCCCAGCACGGACTCCTGGCGTCATGTGGGCGACGTGAAGGCCATGCTGTTGCCCATGGCGGTTACACTGAATCAGTTCCAGGAGAATCAGCGCTACTTTTTCGCCGTTCGCGGCGTTGATGCCCATGAACGTTACGGGGTATTCAGTTTGCCCAAAACGTGGTAATATGTTGAGTGCCCCGCCCCGTTTGGGAGTGTGTTTTGTTTTTGTGTAATTTTTTTGATTTTAAATTCTTTGAAATTAGTTTTAAATTGTATTTATAACATATTTATGTACGCATTTTGTGCCCCAGCCCCTATTTTAAGTATTGAGTTTGAGCTTTTGGCAAGCAGCCGAGCAGCACAGTTTGTGGTCCCAAACTCTAAGCCAACTAATATATAAAATCACGTCTATGTTCGTTCCTTAAGATATACCTATACGATGGGAAAACACTGAGAACTTGCAGCTGTTAGATTGATTCATTTCCCTCCCCCCCCATATACTCTAAGTTAGTCTTAAGTTTTAACCTTATGAAGTGTTTATTTATGGATTAATCAGACATCACTCAAACATCTGCTTCGTAGAAATTAAACGCAACAATATGATTCGTTTTGTAATTTAAGACTTATGTTCTAAGCTTAAAGGAATAGTAAACAATGAATAAATATCAAACTGAAACATCAAAAGCATTCTGTTTTTGATTGCTTCAACTCTCAGATCCAATTAAAAATTTGTATTTGTTTATCAATTTGTCGTGATAAGGCCCGTTTCTTACGTTTCTGGGAAAGGTAGCTTGGTTAGTTTATAGTTGATTATTATTTTCAATAGTTTTTATTATCTTTGTCTTAACATTGTGTAAAAGTACATGTTAAATTTACAATGAAGCTATTTCGATTCAAAATTTACAATGAAGATAAACTGTGTATATCACACGCTTAAAAAATTTTCGAATTCTGTGTGAATATCGCAACTCTTCTTCAATAGGTTGGTCATGATGAATCCTTTGCAAATATTTGCAATGTAAATAAAGTGCTTTGTAAATTTTTGCCAGTCAGTTAAAACCTAAACTAATAACCAAAGCAAATTAAACAATTTACAATTGAAATAATCTATTTGGTGAAACATTCTCTGCAAGTGCATGTTAAATTTACAGTGGGCTTTAGATTTCATCTTTCGCCTAATTTACAAGGCAAATGATTTCAAAATAGCTTTATAAATGTAATACTTATCGCTTATGAGTGGATGATTGTTGTCGTATAGTTTAAGGTAAATGTTATGGCAATCTAATGCTCAATTAGCATTTAATGACCATATCCTTGCTGACAGTATGCACTCGAGGACAACCAAAGGACAAATTAGCACAAATTGCATGCACAAATTGATTTTCAGTCCGAAAGCAGTTAAATTAGTTGGAGGCAGGGGCTTGGGCTGGGTTGGCAGGGAGCATTTCTATATGAGAATGCAATCGATGACACATAAAATATAGATACGCTCATTTCCGTGAGACTGGGTACTGTCCATTTAGGGGTCACTTGCTGCCCGCTGCTTCCTCTCCTCCCGCTTAATGGCCTACGTTTCCAATATTGCATGTTAAGTGCAATCCCTTCCTACCCGGACCCATTTATAGAGCCCTTTTATACGCTAGGCACCATGTCAAAAGGGGCATATTGGCTTGGTGCCTTCCACAAACTGCCAAGAACGGATTTTCGCCATTTACAACAGTTTTGGGGTCACAAAGCCGGTAACTTATAATCCCTGCGACTCATTTAACTGTGAAATTCCCTATGAACAGAGTGTGCGGCAGTCGGTAAACTCGACTGCATGATATCATGTTTAGCCTGAACGCATTGCATATTGGTAAAAATGGATAAAAGGGTTTTGTGCAAATGCTTGCGATAGTGAAAAGGAGGTATCTCCGAGCCAATAAAGTATATATATTTATATATGTTTGATCATCATCTGTCCGATTTTATGAACGTCTCAGAGTTTCAGGGTATCATCTAGTCGTGCACTCCCTACACTTACTTGCTTTTTTTTTTTGTCATGGCTGCGACACCGATTTCTCTCATGCACTTGACATTGGATGAGCGTTGCAGGCGACGTCGCGACCTTTTTCAAATTTTTTGTACCGTGTGGCGCTTTTTTTTGTTTTTTTTTTTGTGTCCATTCATGCGCTGCATGTGGCAGAGAGCGGCGTGATTGGTTGGCTGTTGCCTGCATATGCAGCTGCCGCCTGGCTTAGTTGGCAAGGCGCGCTAACAAACATGGTGGCAAGCAGCTGCCGTGCCGCGCGTGCCACGTGCCAGCGCATTTTGAACGGCAGCCAAAAACCTTGACATTAGGCGCATGTGTCTGCGAGTGTGCGAGTGTGTGTGTGTGTGCGGCTCAATGTTAAGTCATGGTATTTGCCTCTGCGCCTGCTGCACATCCGGCGCACAGAAATTTTGCCAGTTTGTCATTTTAATTCATTTGCAGGCAACGTGTCGCAAACATGTCCTGTTCATGTCCTGGCCCCTTTGGACTGTTGTTGTCATTGCCGCTCCAATTATTTGGCAATTGTCAAGGCAGGAAAAAATAAATAAATAAACACACACATACACACACACACATATGCGCACACTGCCTGCTTGCATTTAATTGAAATAACTGTTCCACACATAGTAAGCGCAATTTAATTGTTGTTGCTGCTTCATTTCCGGGAAATGTCTTAGCAGCCACAACACGCACTCACCCACACACACACACACACACACACACCTACACACCTACACACGCACACATGTACTACTGGAAGCATAACAAAAACACAGATGTTTTGTCAGCAGGCACACACAAAAAACTGCTGGCGCTCACTGTCCGCAGCGCATGCGTCACTTGCCGCACGGCAACACTGTTTTCATATTGGTAGCAGCATTTGCGTGCTTTGTTTTGTTATTCGCTCGCTGAACGCGCCACACAACGGTTGTGTGTCGTCTATTTTCGCAACTCTGCTGCGCGCAACGTGCATTTAGCGGCGGCATGCGGCGCGCTTTTAGACAATTAACGCGTGTTTTATTAAAAAATAATGCAACAATAATTATTGCATCAGTTGTGTGTGTGTTTTTCGCATATTCTTAGGAAATACGTAAATATATTAAATTAAAAAAAAAATATTTAAAAAATATATAACACACTTAAAGCATATAAACATAAAAATATGCCGCTATAATATTTAACTACACTATATAAACAACAACAAAAAATAGTTTCAATAAAATATATATGAAAAAATATAACACAAAACATATATAATATATAAGAAATATTTAAAAAAGCTTTTAACAAAATTCTGCGTGTGTTGATAAAATAAAAAATACATAACAAACTTAAAGAAAATTAATAAACCACAAGAACATATTAAAAAAAGTGTAAAAACATTAAAAAATATAAATTTATAAAAAATAAATAAGTGTAAAAAAAAAAAAATAAGTTATCATAAATCGAAAATAAATTAATACTCATAGCAACTAAATATTAATGCTGCAAAGAATTTAAGAACAAAAAAATAAAACGAAAACAAACATTAATATAAAATAAAAACTAAGCAAGAAATGTTTAAAAATTATAAATAAATATAAAAGATCATTCATAAAAAAAATGCATAGAAAATAGATTTTAAAAAAATATAGGCATTGTGCATTAAATCAGCTTTTATTGTTCATAATATATTGCCCAGAAACAGGCTTAATTAAAATACATTAGAAATATAACAAAGCGGCTTTAATTGTTTATAACATATTGCTTAGGAACAGGCCTAATTAAAAATATAAATATAACCTTTAATTGAAATATCGATTACAAGTGGCAACTCGTCAATTGCTTTGTAAGTATAACAATGCCCCAAAGCGTTCCACATTCTCGGCGTGCATGTGTGTGTGTGTGTGTGTGTGTGTTTATGCATGTTAATTAAATTACCGTTATGTGTGCTTAACAACAATCCCAAAACCCACAACAACAAATCGACCCACACACACACACACGCCCGCTTACACGGCGTAACCTCCATTGAGAGTAATTATAAAAAAACATCAACAACTATAAAAACACTACACGCACACACTCTCTCTCTCTCTCACACACACACACACACATACACAGTATAAACAATAACACATGAATCCATTTTCAGACCCAACTTCGACTCGAGCTGCGACTCTGGTTTCATGTCTTGGCCCTGGCCGCTTGGTGCCATATTTGATATTTGTTGTGCCTGAGTGTGTGTGTGTGTGTTAACTGGGCTGTGCCTAGGTCTATTACAAGCTGTGGCCATTTGCACGTAGCGCGTTACTATTATTAAGCGTCTTATTGTACAATGAGAGCGCACATAAGTATGCTACGGTTTCTGTAACTCAGACTCAGACTCAGCCAGACACACACGCTCGCTTGCCCATGTGCATGTGTATGTGTGGGTGTGGGTGTGTGTACTCAAGGTGCCATAAGCCAGCATTAGCTGTATATATGAGCATGTTTTCGTATATTGCATGCAGCTTGGGCAGATTGTTCAGCTGAAAGGCTTACGAATCAAATCGATAAAATCATGATCCTTTTGTATCGATGGGTGTGCGTGAGTGTGTGTGTGTGTGTGTGTGTGTGTGTTTGTGTGTGTGTGGTCTATCAGTCATCTGGTAAAGCTTGCAGCTTATGTGCCCGCACTTTATTTTCATTTCACATGGCGACCAAATGCTTTCGATGCCAGAATTAAGCACAAGATTTAAGTTTTAGTTTATTCTCCAAAAATAAATATATTTTTGGCATTTTAATAGATGTCAACTTGCCTTTATTTTGGGACATTTTACGCACAACCTAACTTAACTCACATTATGTTACATTTATATTATGTAAATATTTCAATATCAAGCTCTAAATTTCGGTACTTTCAAGTTAGAAAAACGATCTGCGAAAGATATAGTTTTTTAATTTTATATAGAAATACAGGATTATTAATTTTTTATTTTTTATTAATTCTTTATTATTTCATTTTTTATATTTTTAATAATAATAACATTTATATTTGCACTACGGTACGTCAAGCTACTAGATATTTTTTTGCTTTATTTCAGTTCGGTTTTTAGTCGACAACTTTGCACAATAATTTTACAAGTTTTATAAAAAGGCTTCCTTAAGTAACTTTTGTAGATTTGTGCGCTTAATTACAGCATTTCAGTACCTTATGAAATTTCATTTCGTTAACATTTGATTCCTTTTGGACTTTTGGTCCATTCTAAACTCAATTAAGTTGCAGTTTTCGTAGATTTCTTGTCGTTCGTTTCAGCAACAGCTTGACATTTCTTCATTGCTTAGGGCTGACAGGATATAAAAAGGGATGTCATGTCGCCTGCAGGACATGTTTGCCCACGACACATCGAGGTGTTGTAGACAAAACGCACACACACACACACGCACACACAAAAACACACCCATTTTTTTTCATAAATTTTCCGACAAATGTGGAAAAGAATACGAAACACAATTTCTAAACACACTCACCGTCAAGGGAGGGGGTTGATGGCGGGGGGACGTTACTTTGGGGGGGTGTGGTACAGTGTCCCGAAACACGTATGCAAATGTGCAAAGACCAGCATAAATGTGCCATAATAGCTGCACTTTAAAGCTGAGTATTGAGTACTCGTGCCGAGCACTGAGGTATCGAGTACCGAGTATTGATTATCAGTTTTGCATACTAATAAGCGAGCGCTTTGTTCCGACCATTTCGCCGATGGGCGGGCAACACGAGACGCGGGCTAACAAAGCGACAGCCACATACAAATGTTAACATGAATTTGTATGTATATATATATATATATGTGTGTGTGTGTTTGTGTGTTTGGGGTTATGTGTGTGTGCTTGATAGAGTCGCCGTTTTGCTGTTTGCCATGGCAGCTGCTTTGGACAGCAAAAAGGGAGCGCCTCATGGCCCCAAGCAAAGCCGCAACACGAGTTAACATTAGGGGTATGCCTGTAATATGACTATATGTTCATTAACTATAAATATTTGTGAATTTGTCATTCTTTCTTAACCACAATAAAACAATATTATTAATTATATTATAACATAATTAAAATCGAAAATATAACAATAAAGAAATCCTAAAGAATCTTTTAAAAAAAATAAAATATTGTGAACTATAGTAAAATATAAATTAAAAAAAAATACAATAATTTATTAAGAAAAGCCCTTTGAATTTCTTGGAAATACTTCCTTTCTGCTGAGTAAGCAGTTTAGTTGAAATACTCCTTCAATTTTGCTGGTAATTCTTTTAATGGTAAATTTTGGTTCAATTTAAATAAAACTATTCTTTCCTTGAATTGATGTATATTTTCCTGAACTAATACCATTTAAGTCTATTGAAATAATTTTCTTAAGATAGTAATTGAGCTATGAATATTTTTCTTAAATTTCTGAAAACAATTGAGCTGCCCATGAAATTCGTATTAGTTTAAATGTTCTTACTGCATAATATTTGTATTTATGTGATTGAGGAATACCCTTACTGTTATTTTTGTAACAGTAGCTGCCTATTTGCTTTGTTTTATTTTTTTGCTGCGCCTCAAAGGCTTTATTTTTTTTTTTTTTTTGGTAAGAGGCGGCCGTTCCCTTTTTTTCTATCTATTTTACGCCAACGTCGTCGCCATTGTTTTTTGGGCTGTTTTATTACGTATACGCCGCGTAGTTTTTTTTGGTTTCTTTTTTTGGTTGTTAGTTCGTTTTGTGTATGTTTTGTTGTATTTTCTATTTTTATCGGTTAGTGTGTTAGTGTTGCTTGGCGGCGCTTCCGTTGGCTGTTTTCTTCCTGTTTTTTTGCCTCTCGTTGTATTTGTTGCTCGTACATTTCCGCTACAGTCATAATACGAGCAGCAAACAGCTGATAACACAGACATACACACACACCCCTGTTGTTTCGGCTACGAGGAAGCTATAAAAAAGTGTTTGCCTCACGTTTTTTGGGCAAGGGAGGATTCTGGCCTGGCCTGGCTGTGAGCGGGGCGTTTCCCCTTGGAACATGCATTGTTTTCACGCCCTTTACAATCCATTGCGCCGCCAGACGCTGCTCAAATTGCAGGCAACCTCGATTACTTGGGCATGAAGCACAATGGTTAGTTAGCCAGGGTAGTGGCAAAGGGGGACGTAGCGGGCGGAAGATGGCGCCTTGGAGCAATCGAAATCAATAGCCGTATTATAATCAATCATGAACCTGAGCATGATAAACGCTTCAACAATGCAAACAACACTGAAACAACAAACAAATCAAATGGATGAACTTGACGCCCCCCCCCTCGTCCCGTTCGTCCCCAACTCACTTCAGCAACATCTTCCCATGGCAACGCCTTTCTCTTCGGTTGATGTTGGGAACTGGCAGTTGGCTGAAAGTTGTTTGGATTGCGAATTATTATTGCATTTGCCATTTGAATGGCAATTTCCAGAAGAGAGATTTATGTGATTGTATGTTTGTTTGTATGTATGTGTGTGTGTGTGTGTGTGCGTGTGTGTGTGCGAACATGAAGTGACAGCACACGCGGCGTATGATAAATGTAAGCCGCATCAAATTTGTTGCGGAAATGAAATAACGGAAACGCTTAAAGCAAAAATGCGAGAAAGAAAACCCTGTTGTAAAAGGCATGAATTATGCATTCTTTTGGCACATACTTCAAATTAATTTGCATTATTTTTAAAAAGGGTTCGACTGATATTGAAAACGTTTTAAATAAAAGATAATATCGCTTAAAATAGAGGTATGCTGAACACATGCCTTAGGTAGGGAAACATTCAGGAGTTAACTGCATTTGTTATAGCTAAATGCACGTTTCTCACATTCTACATAAGCTGATTGTGGGCTTAATGGCTTCTTCTTCTTCTCGTTTCTGCATATATATGAAAAAAGAAGTGCTGCTGGCATGCTACTTTTGTTAGCCGAGTTTTCAGTACCTGCTGACTTTGAGCTTTACATGCAACTGAAAATTGTATAAAAATTATATATTTGTTTATGCCACATGATGAGGTTTTCAACAGGGCACTTACACATACACACATACGCACAACACACACACACAGAATACACAGCGCTCAGCGCTTGTAAAGAGCTTATACATTGATATGCTTTTGCAATATTAATGATGTTGATGTTTATGTAAATGTAAATGCAAAACGAAAGCAGCCAATCAAATAAAGCGGAAAAATACACCCGCACACCCACACACACTCACACCCACACACCTACAATCTACAGCAACTAAAATAAAGTTTCTGTTTCTGTTTTCTTTTTTTTCCGTCTTACAGCGCAAAAGGTTCGCATCATTTGGACTAAAATCTCAAATCTCAAATCAAAACGCTTGCAAAAAGGCAAAAGCAAACAAATAGCCAAGCGATACAGTCCCACACATGTGTGCGAGTGTGTGTTTGTGTGGATATAGAGCATACGCCGCATAAGCCGTGCGACTGGATAGATACAGAAGCCGGAGCAAAAATCCCCAAGCAACACTTAAGGCATAAATCCGAACTCAATCACGCAACAAGGTAGCCGAGCCCAGGCCTCCAACAGGACTCAAAAGTCTCAGACTGAGATACTGGCAGGTCTCCAGTCCCACAGACAGAGACAGAGACAGAGCGATAAACGATGCCGAGTGGCTGCCACTGAGATAGCATTGGGGCAATCATCATCAGAGCATCATCAGCATTATCTCGGCTCTGGCTGTTGGCTGTTGACTGTTGGTTTCTTCTTGTGGGTCCCCTTGCTGCCAAAAAAAAAAAAAAAAAATCGTTGATTTAGTTTGCGGCCAGGACCTGAGCATTGTAAACATGCCAGCACACCCCTCGAACGGATGCTCAATGACATTTCGAGCCTGATTCAAGGACGTGTAAACGAAAACCACTGCGAAGGCCAAAAATTAAGCTCAATATCCCCCTCGTATACACACCTCACATTCTTTGGCAGGCGGCAAAGTGAGCATCTGCGTAACATCATCATGGCCAGGTAAGACAGCCTTACACCTTATACTACCCACGCCTATGCTCCATAAGCATTCCTCTGCTCGTTGCGGTAATATATTTCTGTGGCAACACCAAAATAGATAAACAAGGCAAGGAACCTGGTATTAATCCAGCAGAAACATCTATTTTTGCACAGCCAAACATTAAATACACTAGCGAACATATATATTTTGGGAATAACGATAATACTGGGCTGTAATACTCTAAAGGTTAGGTTTTTTATATCTATCTATTCCGTATATAGAATTTCATTACCTCCAATAAGAAATCCAAGTAATTCATTCAAAATATTTGCACCAGTTCGTAGAGAATCTTAAAGAATCTTTCTCCATTTATTCTGTGAAAATAATTAATAAAAGCCAAGTAATTCATTCAAAGTATGAAATTTCCTTACTTAGCCTACAGAAGAATCTTTAACACCGAAAAACAATTTAAGACACTTTCGTAGACTTCAATCCCAATAAAAATCCAGCAGTTCGACATTTGTCGAGCCCACGCGAGCGCGTTACACATGCCATAATAAAATGGAAATGCCGCCTTCATGAGATGTATAAAGAAAACAGCATGACTGGCAAATGTTTTCAGTTCAGTTCTCAAAAGCAACCGCAAACATTTTTAGGCATTTCAACACAGACAAACAAAGCTAAGGCAACTCGCATTTATCATGCTGACTGCGTGTGTTTGTGTGTTATGTTTGCATGTTTGAGCGTGGGCCATAGATAAATTTCCATGAATAGAACAAGTTCAAAGCAAACAGCATTTTTCTGCAAAATGAATAAGTGCTGTAAGTAAAAATCTCAGATTTATTCCATTGAAATTAAACGACATTTTGATAAGATAAATTGAAGACACAATAATAAATCAAGAGTTATTTTTTTTAAGAAATATTTTGGAAGAGAGGGAGAAGCGAAAAGCTGCTCAACTTATTTTTTTAATATGCAAGTAAAACGGGAAGCAAAAGTGCTCATGAATTGTGAAGTAGATCAGAGCACAATAAAAATTAAAAAAAAAAAAGAAGACCTCTCTATGCGCTTCTCATTAAGTTTGCTGCGATTCTAGGAAGTATGTAGGTTGTGAGCGAGAAGCAAAAAGCTTTCTTGAATTGTGAAATAGTTCACATAACAATAAAAGCAAAATAAAGACGAATTTGTTGCAAAAATAGTCCTCTTTATTCACCTCTCATATAATTTGCCTCTGAGTTCACATTTATTAGGTTTTCCTGGTCAAAATGGTGTTACCATCCTTTAACAGCTAAACACAAACAACTTTTGAGGACATGTTTATGTTTAGCCATGTTGTTTATTAATTAAATGCAGAATGCCTTTGGGTTTGCAGCTTTGCATAGTAAACCTCAGAGCCTAACCGAGGAATGTACATATTGAAATTGCAGCACACAATAAAATCGCATTCGAGCAAATTCAGTGGCAAGCTACAAGCTGCAACGTGCAACATGAGGCATGCAGCGTGCACGCTCACAAAGCCAAACCACAACATGGACTTGGCAATATTCTGATTAATTTGCCAGCCGAAAGACAAGTCCAATTCGGGCTAAGCCAGAAGGCGACAGATTAAAACAGATTTTCTGTTCTGGCAATTTTATTGTGCCGGCAAGAGTTTAAAATTTTCGATTGTAAATAGTTATTACCCAACCCAACTTTCTTTTAACCGCAGGCGGCTTGCATAATTTGTAAATCTATTTGTGAATAATTGAATGCAACGTGGACAAGGGGAAATAGAAAATTCAAGGAAAACAAACTTTGCAATAACTAAAAACAACTTTGTTACCATTTGAGGTAGACATACATTAGACGGGCTCTAACAAACGACTGCTTGCTTGCCAACACTGTGGGATACCCTTTAAATTACTTACCTTAACTTTTTGGTTGAATTTATTTAAACTCCAGTGCTTAGTATGAAACATATGTATATATATATGTAGGGGTGCTACAGACTACAGACTTTTAATTTTGAAAAATCGAAGAATGACATGTCTAAGCTAAGCTTGTGAATTGTATGAAATATCTCTAAACGCCTTTCTTTGCGATTCTCACACATTCAAATATAGCCTGTAACTTTTCATTATAAATTATTTTATTGCGTTTAGTTTCAAAAAAGCACATATTTTTTTTTATTTATTTATTTATTAAAATGGACTATTGCTTGGTTAAGCTACACTCTATAATGTTTCATAGTTTAAATGATCAGACTATGCCAGCCCTCATATACAGGCACATGCCATCGTGTTGATTCACAGGCCATTTGATTTATATTCACTTCTCAGCGTAATTTGTTAAATTGTTTATAACTCTACCAAATAATTATTCAAATAATTTCAATTGCAATTACTTTTACATGCTTAAGCTACTTATGTAGCTAACTTTGACCATAATTGAACTGTGCTTCAAACTTAAATGTCCTGGCTTCGTTTTACGGCCCTGCTATTCATCAAAGTTTCACAAGTTAAATTGTTGATGCCATAAATTATATTTAAAGGTATATGCTATTTACTGAAAGTTTTTAGCATGAACTGAATGTATTTTATGACCAACTGCGTAAATTGTGTTGCAAGACAGAAAAAAAAGTAAATGGCGCAAACTTGAAAGCCAACGATGGCCACTTCAATCATGGCCAAGTTGCAGTTGCCAGTAATTTCACGGCCAACAATGCAGCGCCTGGGAAATTGCAAGTGTGTGCGTATGTGTGTGTGTGTGTGTGTGTCTAGAGGTTGGGTGTGACTGCAACTAAATGCTTAATATGCAAACGCACGAAGAACAAAGGAACTTGTAGAAGCAGCAGCAGCAAAAGCTGGCTGCTTTGGAAGGGCAGCCTGCCTGGCAGCGAGGTCAAGTGAATTGTTGGCACAGCTGTCAATGATGGCGGCCCATTTGGGTGCTGTCATAATGCTGACCATGTCTGGCCATAAGTTTTATGATCTCTAATAGCTGCAAGACCCTTTCGGCCACAGTCGTTAACAGCTGACGGCACTTGGACACCATGCGGCTAGGTGTGAGTACAGCTGAGAGAGGTGGCTTTTATTGAGTTGCCACGGCCTTATATATGGCTTCAAGGCGCTTTTTATGTGTCTGTAATTATGCCACACTACTGTAACTGTGCCCCTCTGCCCTCTCTCCACCCACAAACACCCAACTCCCAGCTGCGTGATATTGAAACAATGGAAAACATTTTCAAACGGATGTGAATCCATTTCCGGCACGTGCAAAATACAAAAACAAAAAAAAAAGACAAAAAATAAAATACAATGAAAAGTTGTTTGTCATTAATTTAATTTCACTAAGGCAACAAAAAAGAAGACACACACACACACACACACACACACAAATGCGTGCAGTTTTAAATTTCACTTAATGTCTGACATGTCGCACACACATTCACATACATACAAACATATATATGTGTATAACTATATCTGTTTATCTGTTTTGGTCTGCCTTGACGAACACACAAACAGGTGAAGGGGTGGGTGGAGGGCAATGGGCCGAGGTGGGGCTTTGTCACGCTACAAATTTGCAGTTAATTGTAAAATATTGTAAAGGGAGAAAATAAACAGACCCTGGCGGACTTGATTAAAGTGAGCCTAGACAAACCAAGTCACATTAAAGTGAACATGGAGAACATTCAGCTCAATATAATTTTATAATAAAATAAAGAAGTTAAGCCCTGCAAATAATGTGACTATGGAGAAGATGCAAGCTGTTGCAAAGAAATTGAAATGAATGTTTGTTTATTAAAAGAAAAAACACTTCGATAGCCAACAATTAAAGAGCAAATAAATATATAATATTGAAAACTGAAATGGACCAGAAATAACATATGAGTGTACATTCTAAACGGACAACAATAGGCGAAGTGACCATGGAGGACTTGTAAGCTCATTGAACAAGTTGAAGCTGACTTGAAGCATATGCAGGATTGCTGCTGCTCAAATAAGTAAATGACACTCAAGCAAGTGGCCATGGAGGACCATTCCGTTGGCTGAACTTTAAAAAAAAAAACGCAGTGCACAACAGAAAGTTGGCGATTTATGGAGGCTTGGAGCAGGGCCAGGAACTTGTTAGATATATATAAAAAGAAAATATAGTCAAGGAAGCGAACAGCAGAAAAGTTTGTTGGATTTTGTGCGAATGAAAAACTTTAGTTACAAATAAATATCTATCAATATTTGAAGGCCATTTTAAAAGCGCAAAAAAGTTACGTTAAATCACATTAAAGTAAATTTAATTAGCAAAACAAATAAAGTAGGAAACAATTTTAAGAATATACAAGCTTATGCGAAGATGGGCTCTTTGTAATTTCTAAAAATATATTTTCTTAAATTGCAAACTAAATCAAAATCTTGAGTCGTCCGTTTTCGGATACGATTTCTTCAAAAGTAAAACTAGTTGAAATTCTGCGTACATTTTGAATTTTCACAAAGGCAAAATTACCTTGATCTAAGCGCTATGAGCCTTACCAGCTCATATTAAGGGGTCTGTCGTTTCCAGGGACTGATTGCGTGTACGCATAAGCCATTAAACAGATTGCCACGCCCATTGTGAAAACGCCTTGCAACCAGTCGTAATCGGCACATAAGCACATCACAAAGCTGACTGGGTCTAAAACGTATTCAAGGGAAATGGAAAGGATTATGATTGGCATTGTGTCGACAGACGGGGGAACGGGGCCAGGTTTTGTCAGAGGGGGCAGCTCCGCTTTCGTTTGTGTTTGGAATCATGCAACGATTTGTTGCGTATTTGGCTTTCAGCTCGTCCCATATACCCGATCTGTTGTCTCTCGACCGTCATCCGCCGTTGTCTGCATCAAAGCAAAGATTAATTGGCTTTGCGTAGGGCTTCCACATGCATTTACTTTACTCTTGTCATCGATTCGTTAGCGTTTCCCCCCACCCTCGCCTCGCCTTATCCCTTTCACTTTGTGTTGGGGCTTTTTTTTCATTTTAGTTAGTTATTTGGCTTTCGGTTTGTTAGGAAACTTTTAATTTTTTTCGCACGCAACTCTCGATTATGCAAGCTCACGTGCTCGAAAATTTAAACAATGTAAACGCCAATCAGGCTATAAAGAGGATCAGAGACACGTTTCAAATACTCTGATTGGGCTTTTCAATGGCTCGATGCTGAAATCAAAATGAAAATTAAATCAAACACAAATCAAGCATAAACAATGTGAATATGATTGTCATATGTTATTCCAGCAGATTATTTTGACTTTTTCACGCCCATAACTCGGTCATATCTCATCCGATTCCCACGAGGCTTGGCTAGTCGTTCAGGGTTTGGCATTTAACTCCAATTCTGGCAATATGATTTCTGGTCATACATTTATCTTTCTAAGCACATGATATTTGCATTCCTCTTAATCAATTAGATATGCAAATAGCAGACGGCTTATCCGCATGTAGTTGAACTAATTGAAATCAAAAGACACGAAATTCGCAGATCAACAAAATGGCAAAAATTGTCATTTCGCATGTTGCAAAAAAAAAAACCAAACAAAAATGTTGCCAAGCAAAATTTAATTTTACGGTTCAGTTAAATGTAGATTATTTTCATTTGATTGAATTTGAATTGATGCGTTTTCAACAAATTCAATTCATTTCAGCCATCCATCCATCCATCCATTCATTCATTCAAC